TATTATATAAAATGTAATTTCCTTATATATAAAGCATTCCATTTTATATTAAAGTATTAACATAAATAGCAAAATTATTAACAGCTTTTTACTATATTTTCATAATAACAATAAAGCTTTTTGGAAAATGTCAAAATTGAATTAAAGTTAAGTGAATAACCAGTTGAGATAGCCCTTGGAAAATAAGAAAACCTAGTCATAAGTTCAGGCATTGTTCTTAATCGGGCATCAACTATTCTGAGGGCTAGTATCATAATAGAATAAGACAGCACACATTGCCAAAACTTTTCAGAAGATTAATCTGAAATCCTAACACATTATATCTTTCAACTTGCATCCAAGGTTATAAAAACAAAATAAAATTTAAGAATTTAAATTAAATGTATATATAAATCACTTCATATAACATTTTTATTTTCATTTGCTTAATGTTAAGCTCTTCTAAGTCTTTAACAACAAATCCAAAAGGATACTATCTCCAAAGCATCTGAAGTAGTTTTTCTTGAATTTGCAACCCCCAAAGTCCTCTATTAAGCCCTAAGTAGGCAAAGTGTTGTCTGATGATCAGTGATTGGTTTTCAAATAAATTAATCAAGGTATACATAGTCACAAACACATATTATTCCATACAGTCCATATTGAAAGATTCAAACTAACCTGGTACTTCTTGAGCATTCTGCATCCTGTCCATTCTAACAGGTCAAAATCACTCCTGTCATGAACGTAAGTTATAATGATGGTCTTTAAGGAAAGCTTTGTGTGTGACTGAGAGTGATCCATCACTAGGGGTCACAAGTTAATTTCTAAAAGAAATGAAAAAGCACAGTATGATGGTAAGGTGAGTGAAAGAAATCTTGCTCTATGATTCATTTTAACTCCTCAAATCACTCCCCTTCTTGCTAGCAATCTCAGAAGTGCGAAATGACTTGTCTAGTGTGCCTGCCCCAGAAAAAGAGTAATTCTCCATTATTCTAAAGAACTCATTCACAAAAGTCAAGAAATACTAAAATAATTATAGTTTTACTTTTAAACTCGTGCTACTGGTGTAGCTCACTAGCAAGTCAATGGCTGTAGCTTCCTCCAAAGCCAGAGGGCCATCCTAACTACCAAAGTATTTGCAGTTACTGACTGTTCTGAGTTCCTTTGTCTTCATAGATGGGAGTTGAATTTTCTTCTGCAAATGCCTGTGATCATGTGAAGTTGCTGCTTCTAATTCAACATTTTTTTTAGGTTTTTCTCAATTCAATTCCAAGAGAAAGAAATTGTGACTAGAATTTACATATGGTTGTCTAAAGGGAAAGAACATTCAGTGTTGTGATGTATATACAAATATAAAATTCTATCTTATGGTAAGATACGCTCACCACTTGGGTTATCTTGCTCATTCCCATAATAGAACTGCTGTATTTGATAGATGAGAATTGTGTCCTAAAATTTCACTACAGTAACAACAACAAAAAAATCCTACTTTAAATAATGTAGTCTACCAAACTTTTAAAGGGTCTTAGGACACAACGAACTGTCAATTTTCATAAAGGGTCCACTTATTAATCTAGCAATTAGTTTTTAGATATTGTTAAATGAAAAAAAAAATCTTGGTTCTTATTTGGGCAAAGGTACCTTAAAGTTAGATTGAAACTTTTTGAGTTGACGACACGCGTTAAGTTGAACTGTAATTCAGTTAGACAAGTGATCAATTTAGAAGATGTATAACACAAAGTTCATCTTACTTTTATGATTTTTTGCATAACTTTAAAGGACTAGGTTTCTTGGAGATTTTCCTTATTTTTTAATTAAGAAGATTTAATAATTAACTAATTTCCTATCAATTCTATGCTAAGAATTAAGCTTGATCATTAATATTATATTTGTCAACCTTAATAAGATAGTTAAGATTTTTGTTAGTGTTAATCAATTCTGATTAGGAAAAAATTACTTTTATCTCACTGTTCATTCAAAGTAAAGTATAAAAGTGTTCTCCTATATTTGTGATCCGTATTCTATGAATGTATTCTTGCATTTGTTCTGAATTATATATAAGGCATGGAGATATAAATTATTTGATCGAAATTTATATATCAATAAAGACTGGGTGGTTTTTGTTAGTCTTCAGCTTGCTCTTCAATTTTGTTCTGACCCTTATAAAGTGTATAGTTCCTATGCACTTAATGACTGTCAATTGTTAAACCTTCACATATCCCTAACTTTCCAATTCCAAACTAACATATAATTTACTCCATACAAATCTAGTAAAGTGTAAAATTTCCAGGAGACGCCCTGACGTTTAGGAAACAAAGATGAATTGAGATGTCAGTTCTAAGTGTTTGGCCCAACTTTCTAGTTAAGTGACTCACCTCTCATCACAAAGAATATGTCAGTGTTTTGAATTTATGCTTTCTATGCCATAGGTCTTTGAAACTATTTGAAAACAGTCAAATCACATGCACTAAACTTAATGCAAAGTGTTTATTGTAGATAATGTGTTATGCCAGTTATGTTCATTAAACTTTATTGTTGGTGCTGGAGTGGTTAAGAGCACTGACTGCTCTTGCAGAGGACCCAGGTTTGATTCTCGGCAGCTACATGGCAGCTAACAACCATCCCTAACTCCAGTTCCAGAGAATCCAATGCCCTCTTCTAACTTCTGTGGACATTGCACAACACGAGAGCACTTACACACAAGCAGGTAATACACTCGTATATATAAAATGAAAGCGTAATAAATAAAACATTTTTAAATCTTCTTTTTGTAATATGTGCTTTCTAAACCAGACATATTGCCATCAGTCACACCACTCACAAAACTGTTTCTTTCTTACATACACATCCATACTTAAATATACAAACACAGGGTACAACCACAGTTTATAAGCATTATTAAATTTTGTTTCCATTATTAAGGATAATCCTCTGGTTTCTCTTCAGACCAAACAAATCTTTCACCTTTTACTAATATTCAGGACTAAATACTTGAATATAATAACTATTTTCTATTTACTTGATAAAATACATAATGCAAGAAGACTATAAAACAAAGCAAAGAACATAGTAAATGCAAAACAAAAAATGGTATATGTAAATATCTCAACATTTATATGAAAAACACAAGTGGTTTTAAATGTCCTAGTAACAGTTTAAACAAATAACCTGCTGTACAATTCATCTATTACCCACATGGCTGTCATCTATCTGGGGCTTTATTAGACTCCAGTACTTAAAGATGCTGAAGTAGGACTTACTTCTTCATGAAGTTCTCTATTCACAAAGCTACTTATTTTTTTTTGTGATCAGAGAGTGAAGTATTAACACTCAAGAAGAGTCTGACATAATAAGATCACAAGTCAAAGAATTTT